AAAATCATTTTCATGGCATAAAAATGAAAACTTTTTCATATCAAGGCAGAGGTAATTCGGCTCTGATATCAAATGTAAGAAATTTTAATGAAGCCAACTTGTGTTTCTAAATCATTGTAATAGAAACACAATAAAACTAATGCGGAAACGAAATAGCGTACCTCCAGCCATTGTCGCCAAGAATTTCTGTAGAGGTTTCTTCTTGAACTTTGGTTCTTCTCGGCTCAGAACTCTCGCTTTAGATGGTGTAGGAAAGCCTTTCGCTTCAAAGAGATGATTGAGCCAAGGGACCAAGATCCTCATGTATATATAGATGTTCTCCCATCAAGAACATTTATCATCACCAACTCATAACGTTCAAGAATTAATTCAAATTTGTAACGTTTGAACCATAATGAAGAACTTAATGATATTAAATATTTAATTTAATAATAACGATTTCATGCATAAAGAATAAGAAACTGAAATCATTTAAACCATAATAAATGAAGAAATTCATGATAATGAATTATGAATCTTAATAAGAACGATTACGTTATTATTAAATAAGAAAGACTGTTCGTGACTCGAATCTTAATCCTCCATGTCTCACGGAAGATCTGTCCTAACAAACCTATGTTAACATTGTTTTATATATCATGCCTGGTTCTAAGCTGCACATCAATTTTGTCTCTTGCAATGACAATGTATTGTAAGGCACTTATAACATATTGTCACCAGCAGGCACTAAAACATAACAGGTGAAGACCTGCACTAATTATCGATTATGTCTTGTAATTAGATATTTTTAATATTTCGATTTCTAGACTTAAAAAAATTTATATTAATATCTCTATAATTATGAAAGTAAAATATTTAATATCATTTACTCTACTCTGCATTACTAATGGAAGCTATAGCATTATCGATTTTGCTAATAATAAAATAATCATTTCATATGTTATCAATGATGCCTTCGTGTCGTTAGGCAGGTGTGCCAGTCCATGCTCCATCACCCTCCCCTAGTAGCACCTTCATCTACTCCCCTTGCTAACACATGCACATCCTCATATCCCTGCTGAATTGTGCCTCCGTCGGCTTCCTCTCCTCTACGTTGCCCTATGTCCAGGTGACCATGTCGAAGGCCATTGTCGTCCATAATAATTGTGCTTATGTCACCATGGGGAAACCACTGAGGGCGCAGAACATGGCGCATGCAAACCCACAACACTCATCGTGATTCCATGGCATGTCGAATAGGTGGACCCATGCATCGGTCATCGCGTTGTAGGCTAGCGTGAACCGCAATGAGTGTTCTTTCTCTCGTCGTGCCTACTAGCCACAAACACCATCCAACCCTCCTCTTACTCGAAATAGGCGAAGGAGGAGTGTCGTGGGTTGGGGGGAATGGGGGCCCCACAATGCAAGAGTCGAAACACCATATCTTAGACATAGACGTCATTGATGAAGGCCCAAGAGTAGCGGTCCAATCCATTTATCACCGCTAGCTCTCTCTTGATGACGACCATTTAATAGGAGAGCGAGAGGCCATGGGAGTAGCTAGGGATTGGTGGCGTTGATGTCCACGCATCGATGGCCAAAGGGAGACATGAAAATCTAGGGGGGGACATAGAGGGTTGTTATTGGGGAGAGATGGGCTTCCATTGGACAAGGCGGTGGAAGTTGGTTGCCCTCACCTGGTCCATTATCGCCCTCGTCGACTCCCAATCGAGCGAGGCCAATAGACTTCCACCACCTCGTCTAATAGGCATCTCTCCCCAGTGGCAACCCTCTTTTTTGCCTCCCGATTTTTTATCTCTCGCTTGGACTTTGCTGCCATCGGTGCTTGGACCTCGCTACCACCGATGCTTGGACCTCGTTGCCACTGATCCCTAATCACTCCCGTAGTCTCCTTGCTCTCTTGCTAGTTGGTCGCCGCCGAGAGGGAGCTAGTGGTGGTTAACAAATTGGACCGCCACTCTTGGGCCTTTATTGACAACATCCACGTCTATGACATAGTGTCCCAAGTATGGCACCATGGGGCCCCCGTGCCTAGTCCCAAGCACTCCTTCGCATGCATCGGGTTGGAGGAGCGCCAAATGCTATTTGTGGTTGGCGAGCATGATGAGAGAAAGAACATTCTATGTTTCACACTAGCCTATAATCCAATAGCCCACCTGCTCGACATTGCATGGGAGTACAATGAGTGCTACGGGATCGTGCGTTTTATATCCTCGATGGCTTCCCCATGACGATGTAAGCGCAATTCTCATAGACAACGAAGGCCTTCAACATGACTACCTGGAGGTGAGGTGATGTGGAGGAGGGGAAGCTAGCTAAGGTGAGGTATCAATGCATGTTCGTGATCGACAAGGACGAAAAGATGTTATATAATAACAAAGGGAGTAAATAGAGGTGCTACTAGAGGGCGATGGGATATGGCGACCATTGGTGAACGTACCTAGTGATGTGAAAGCATAACTAATAATGCTTGAAATAATCATTTTATCATTGATAGAATCAATAATTCTACATGTGTTATATCTTATGTTAATAAAATCAATGACATTAAGGTAAATAAGATTAAATGATTCACTTTCATAATTATTAGAATATTAATATAATTTTTTTAAATTTAAGAACCGAAATGCTAAGAGGATCTAATTGGGATAATATGCAAATAACGCATGAAGACTTAACCATCATATTATATATAAAAAGAGAATATTTCTATTTCAAAAAGATCTCATAAAGCCCATGCCAATGTCATAAACAAACAATCAAAACAGTCTAAAATAGTAAATGCATTTTGATTTCTAGAGAAGGCGACAAACCAACATGCAATTTTTCTCACGTAGTAACTTTTTAATTCTTTAAGAAAATGTACGTCGAATTTGCAACAATGATATAAAGAATTCGGGATAAATTTCTTGTTGGTGCAAGCTAATAGCATATAAGATTTTCTCAACTATATAAAATCTCTCTACTCTGTTGAGAAAAATCTTCCCTCCTAATCTATATAAATAGGAGAGGGACATGTTAATGTATTCAAAAAGATCTCATAAAGCCAATGCCAATGTCATAAACAAACAATCAAAACTGCCTAAAATAATAAATGCATTTTGATTTCTAAATAAGACGACAAACCAACATACGATTTTTCTCACATAGTAACTTTTTATTTCTTTAAGAAAATGTACGTCAGTATTTGCAACAATGATATAAGGAATTCATGGTAAATTTCGCAGATAAAATTTCCCACTATATGAGGAAATCTCTTTATTCTGTTGAGAAAAATCCTCCCTCCTTCCCCAACAAAAAATTTCTCTATTCTGTTGAGAAAAATCCTCCATCCTAATCTGTATAAATAGGAGAGGAACATGTTAATTTTTTCTTAAATAGGAGAATGTATTCAAGCTTTTTCAATAAAGTTTCTTTAATAATTCTTCTTATCTTCTATTCTTTCCAACATGGTATCAGAGTAGGCCATCGAAGCTTGCCATTCACCACATCCCTTGCCTCTACAAAGTAAAGAAGAGGGAAACTCTTTCCTATGCTGCAGCTTCCTCTTCTACTACAGCTTCCATCTCTGTTGCAGCTTTCTCCTCTATTGTAGCATCACTGTAGCTTTCTCCTTTGCTGCACCTTTGCTGTAGCTTCCTTCTCTACTGCACCTCGCTACAGCTTCCTCCTCTGCTGTAACATCACTACAACATACATTGCTACAGCTTTCTCCTACTGTAGCTGCCGCCATCGTCGTCGCAACCACAACAATAACAACAGCAGCAACAACGATCTGCTCTTGCCCTACTCACGAAGCCTCTAGCTCGTAAACTGTTTAATTTGCATCGATCCAAGATTAGTATTCTTGACAGGAGCACCATCTTGCGGGAGCATGATAACAGATAAAATTTTCCCAACTATATAAGGAAATCTTCTATTCTGTTGAGAAAAATCTTTCCTCATAATCTATATAAATAGAAAAGGGACATGTTAATGTATTCAAACTTCTTCAATAATTCTTCTATCTTCTATTCTTTCCAATATAAACAATCCATTCTTGATTTGAGATCAAGCCAACAAAACTGAAAGCCTTTCTATATTGGGAAATCTACCATAATTATGATGCAAATATCCCATATTCCTCCTCATCCTCAATCACAAAGAGAATTAATGAAGAGATAAACACAAAAAATAAAGTTCTAATAAATTATAACTTATCAACATACCAACAATGATACCATAAAAGTTATTATACACATGACCGGTGTTGGCAGATGAATGCATACATTCATTCCTGTCACAAATGTCATTTTATTACCAAGCAATTAGGCATAGCGCATCCAAGCCTAAGAAATATTCATATTGATATAACTCTAATCACACGACAAATTAATAGCTACAGCAGATACATAATGCACAAATGAAAATTATGAATTCTTGTGATACATTCGGTTCCTATGAATATACAACATTGCACTAAAAGCAGAATGAATTAATTGAATGAGTTAAACCCTTTTTTCTAGAAACATCTTATACCAACACCAGTAGCAACTTTGGAGGGCCACATCATCCTTCAGATTTATACTGGTTTGCATGTATATATAGACAGAACAATGACTAGGAACAATATAGTGTGCCTCGCTGAAAGCCTGTTGGTGGATGTTTCCTCACACATGCCTCCCATTCCAGATACTGAAATACCAAACTAGGGGGCATCAAAGATGCGGCAAAACTAAAGACTACCAGGTCATCACCAACTTGTGTGAGCATTTTTGTGACCATCAATCTTGGACAAACATTGGGTTAACCAAACACCTGATTCAACATCTGTGAGCAATTAGTGGCACATCGTTTAGAATTAGGAGGAAAGGTAGATAAAGACATACAAACATTTCATTAGAACCAAAGAAGAGATCTTATGACACTTGGTTTAAACATGAAACTTTATGGCTTGTTCTTCTTAGGACACTGACCTCACATCAGTTTGAATGATGGGCATCATTGGTCTAAATCACAAGCTTAAGGATCCAATTAATAGATCCTTAAATATCAAGCTTATAGAGAGGGATTTATTTAGTTGCTTACCATGTTGAGGTCAAAACAATCTGTTGTCAGTAGCACACATTACTATGAAGTTCCAGACATATTTGATTGTTGCATTTCCTCTTCCGATTCAATACCAAGATTCTCCTATTCAAAGACCTTGAGAAGTTTAAAAAAATGATTAATGAAAAGAATTACTAGACTACAAAAGAGTGAAGTAGAAATGATTGAGTTCCAACATGTTCTATACCCATATATGTCAAATTTATTTAAATAATGTTTTAGTTTATTGTCATCTTCAGCAGCTGGAATTTATTAAGATCAGTAACTTAGCCAAATTCCTATCACGTTAGGTTCATAAACTCCAGAATTGGCATCAAAATTCCAAGAGAGATATTGGTAATTTAAATTATAGTAATTATAATTATCACATGTTTATGTTTCAGAAAATGCAATAAAAGAATACACACTTAAATGTAATAACAAAACTAACTATTAATAATAATAATATAACACATTCATGAGATAATAATCTCGTGTAGAATACACAGCTAGTTATGAACAATATATTAATTTGTTAAAATATTAACATCATGATAATAGCCAATTTCAAAGATATTTAACAAGATAGACATTTTTTAGTTAATATGAAACATAAGCATAGTTTTATTATTTGAAACATCTCATTAAGTATTTGAAAGTGGAAATTGCAACACACTTTAGGTTGGAAAATCCTGATCAAGAGAGACCTCTGTGCGTGCCACACCTCTTTTTTTGTGTTTGACTTGTGCTACATGCTAATGGAAATATGGAGTCAATTCACACTCTTATAAGCATTTACCAAGCCTTAAGGATTATATGGCCATTATAGCCAAAAGAAAAATGTTCATAATGAAGAGCTTCTATCTTTTTCCCCGACTGGATCGGGTAAAGTTTTAGGGATACTATTAGACAATTGTTGTCCTCTCCCCTGGGGTATTTCTATTCTACACTTAGTGTCTCATAAATGGGGCTGTAGATTAGGACTTCTTATGATGAAAAGGTTCTTCTAACCAGATCGAGACATGATACTGTTTCACTAACTACTATAAAGCATGGACATAAACACAATATGACAGTCTTAAGAAGATGCTGTCCTGGTAAAGCCTATGAAGGACACAACAATGTAATGGACTTGGCACCTAATACATACATATTTTCCTTTTTTTTTACTTTAGGTTCATATGTTTGATACAGACAATTTGCATAATATATCAAAACATGTATTATAACAGTTCATTAGAGAAGCAAAAATGTTCACAAAATTTACCTCAAACACAAATATATAACAATAAAAAGTAAGCCAAAAGTCCAAAATACATCCATTTATCTATATTGGCATCTTAAAGCCTTTATGTAATTAAGTATCCTAAGGTTGTAATACTTTATAAACGTGCAAATGATAAAAGATATGTTCTGAACTATCTGACAAGCGGAAAGTGTTTGACCAGTGTCGCATCAACTCAATGAACAATTTGAGGTGTCAATGCTTCATATATGCTTGAGGGGCTGCTTGAATTTATCAGCTATTTTGTCTATCCCTAACTATTGGCTTGCTTTAAAATAGGTTACCAATACTATTCTAGACCACAAAAGCCATCTAGCCAAGAAACACTTCCAGGATATGGCAGTAGGAACAGCTGCCACCTGATAAGTTGTTGATGCAGTTCTTAAATCAAAAAATGGGAGGAACGGGTAGAGGACAGAAGACACAACATATAGGCTTAAAGAGCCTTTGTTTGACTCGAAGTCCTCTACGTGCTCAGAGTGTCATCACAACAACAAAATGAAGCTGTACGATCTTAACCAATGTTGGGCAGCATGGATTTTTTCTCTCCATTGAGCTATGTTTAGGGCAACAATACAAGTAGAAATATATTAATTGAAAAACCAATAAAAAAATCTCAAAGATCCATAACTAGCTAGGCAATGTTGAAAAGAAATATATCATCTCTTTTATTGCCAGACCAAGTTCACCATCCAAAAATGATGAACATAGACCACATATTACCTGTTTACTCTCCAAATGTGGAGAAGTTCCTTTTGCAGTGTTGGGGCATCTTGAATTATTTCTCCTTGGCTGTTTTTTCCTGTGTAGTGTTTGAATTCCATGGATAAAATTAATCATCAAACTTCCATGCCTTTTAGATTTGTTGTCATCCATCAAGTTGTTTGGACCCCATGTGTACATAACATATTTCCTCAGCTGGTTTAGTGTAAAACAAATGTTAGGTATGCAGTATGCTGAAGATATAAATCAGCAACTCTAATCTGTGTGTATACCTTATCCTAATTCTTCTGTGCATGTTTTTGTCCAACAATATTTCTCATTGCAGTATCTTCATGGCGAAGTTTAATAATTCTAGCCTCAAACTGACACAGAATGAAATGTAAGAGTGTTGGGAGTCACCAAATCAGTAATCAAGAATTCAAGATATATGTATGTAAATTGCAATCATATAGAGGAACTCAATGATTTCCATCCCAGTCAATTGTATGACAAGGATCAGCTATCATAAAACTTTAATAGACTTAATGGTGGATGCAAGGTTGCACTGATCTAGATAGAAGAAGTATTCAAGAAAACTAATAATGACACTACAAATAGTAGACATACAATCACTTTCATATCAAACTCTTAAAGTTCACAATCAGATCAGTTATGTCAATAGGCGTTTGGGTGATCCTCCATGTGCTCAGGCAAAAAGAGGCGGGCCAACTTTGATGGGCCCTGTACAGGTGCCTTCAACTGAACCCAAGGGCTCGCCTAGGCTGGCTCCGATTACCCAAACCACCCTACCTGATCCAAACCCAATTTCCCCAGCTCCCCTCACAACCCTATCTAAATGTGATCTCCCACACAGCACAATTAGTCCCTCCATCCAGCCACATCCAACATACCAGTCATTGACCATCCACCATCAGCTTTTCGCCGCCAGCTGCATCTCCTCTATCCATCTGGTACTCTCCTCATCTCGCCCTTCCCTCTTCTATTTCCTCTCTCTCTCTCTCTCTCTCTCTCTCTCTCTCTCTCTTCTCTTTCGTGCATGTTCCACCATCTTAGCCGTTTCTTTCCTCTTCCCTCTTCCCTCTTCTTCTCTCCCCTTCACCAATGACAACTAGTCGCCTTCTCTTCCATTTTCCATCTCCTCTCTTTTTCCTCCCTGTTCTCTCCGCCCCTCTCTAATGTCTGGCACCACTTGTTGTTGCCCTATTTTTGCCTTCTCTCTCCTCTCTTCATAACTAACAATGGAGGCTGCAGTTGTCCTCCACTGCCCTCTTTCATCTTCTCTCTGCTGCCTCTTATTTCCTCCCCTCTTCTTTCCTATCTCTATGGCTTATTTAATCAATTTGACATGGAAATTGAAACTACAATACAAGGACAATAACAATTGAAGGTACATGGGAAGAACATCATCAAAAAACGTTAAAAAGGATCTTGGATGGAATTATCATTATTTAAAGGATCCACAAAAGGGTAATACTATCACTTGCATAATATGTGATAAAACTATTAAAGGTGGAGTATCTTGAACAAAACAATATCAAGTTTTTTTGTTGATTTAATGATATAAAACTTGTGTTTTGTTTGAAAATTTTGTTTCAATGATAATTTGTTTTCAATTGTATTTTAAACTTTTTTGTAGGGTAAGCATTTAGTTTTACTCAAGCAAGCACCTAAGTGAATAACTAGTGCCTCGGACAATAAGAGACCTTAACACTTTATAACATTGTGCTATTGGCAACAGTGGATTATATATTGAAGGCAATGTCAAATATAGATTATCTTATTTAACCAGGAATATTGTTCATGACATCACTAAAAAGCATTGATATATGCATCTGGCATCACTACTGCATTAACAGTGTGCAACTATATTGATAAGGCACATCTCACTGTAATTTGAAAATGACTGTGTCAACCGGGCATTTTGATATACTGTAGAACACATAATTGTTGAAATCTTAAAATCACATGTATATTGACATCTTAGTATACATGACATGATTTACCACTCCAGTTACACTTAAAATAGAAAGTACATTGACATATTCAAGGTTTAGCTACAAGGTTTATTTTACATGAGACAAATGAAATCTTTCAAGGAGCTTAAAATGAATTTAAGCTAAATTTAGCATGAGAGACAACAAAAAGTTGTAACTTGCACATTTGCAATTGACAAAGAAACACTTGAAATGAATCACTAATGAGAAGAAGTTACCTGGACCAAGAAGAAAAGAAAAATTGCAAGGCTAATAGCATAAAGACCTCCAACATCCGCAAGGAAGCCCACTGCAAGTATTAAAAACAAAGCAACCTTATGATTGTGCAGGATGTATAATTTTGCAAACAGGTTTAAACACGACAAGCTTTGCATAAACCATGTAAATGACAACAGAAGGGTTTTGTTTTTCCATTAAGCAAACCAAGTAAATCAGAGTTTAGAAAAGGCTAAACCAGAAGTTCTTTGCCTTTCCCTACTACATAGGTAATATAATGCAAAATAGTAATTCAAGAACCAACACCCTGAGATTGGATTGCATTTATCACTGTCAAAGCATATGGTATGAATTCTTTCAGGAACATTAATAATTAGATGAGTAGCTCTTTCTTATAATTTCATCAAGCAGAGATGGTAAATATCAAAATTTCAACAGATAATAACACAAAAAGAAAACAACCTAAGAACCGACCTGTCGATACATTGAAAAATTATTCCGGTATTGCCTGAAAAAGCAAAAGCAATGAAGCCAGAACAGGCTACAAGAGAATTAAATCACATTATTACTTCAATATGTTATTAGTATAATGAATCTCAAGGCCTTTATCAAATCTTTATCAAACAAATTGAAATTATAGGGAAGGCTTCTTAAGATTACAATTCCTATAAAGACTAAAGGCATGTTAGGCTTATGGTAACAAATTTTGCTCTGATACATATCGGATGATATTTATTGGTCTGGACTTGAACCAGCATGTGGACCATGGCCTTTCATCCAGTCCGATCTGGTAAGCAGGTTAGTGGAAGGTAATCCGCAAAACCTGAGCTTACCGCTCAGTTCAGACTTGTTACAGCAAGCCCACCCCTGGTTCATTCTCTATCTCTCTCATCGCCAAAGAAATTATTGTTTTTTTTAAGTTGACTTTTGACAGTTATCATCATCTTTTTAACACTGTTATTGCTGTCGTTTTATTAATACCTCTCTCGACATCTGTCACTGGTTCTCTTCGGATTTGCCTTTCAATGCCTCCTGCTTGTCACCGCTGACTGTTACTGGCACTTCCCACTGTTCATCACTGTCACTGCTGTTGCTGCCCACTCAGTAGGTTTTGTCCTCTTCTCCTCGTTCTACCCTTCTCCTATTCCGCTCCTTTTCCCCTTCTTCTCCTCCACATTTTCTCCCTCTCCAATTGCTTCTTGGTGTTGGTGTATCCTCCAACCCCTTCACATTGTTGACCGATATGCTAGTATGTCATATGCCAATATGCCGGTTTATATTGCACCTATGGTGGTACGGTGTCTGGTATCATGATTTAAAACCATAATTAGGGTATCCAAAGTTTCTACTAGTTGTGCATAATGAGATTTAAAACCAATGATTAGGCTATTGAGAATGTGGTGATGTAGAATAGGGTAGAGAAATAAAGAGAGATCAAGAGAGGTGTGAGATTAGAGATTAGAAAGGAGAGAAGGAGAGAAGTGAGATTAGAGATTAGAAAAGAGAGAAATAGACTAGAAGAGAAGATGCAATTCTTTTTCATTCAAATATGAAGTGTCTCATCTATTGACAAGATTTATAGGGGTTTAGGAGCCTTAGTATAATCAATGTAGGCAATGATTCCCAAGAGTAACCTCCTAAGGAATTTATATGCCTTTAAGAAAGGCCAAATGTGACTTCTAGGAGACCTAAACAGATTTAAAACAACTTATTACAACTTAGAAGAAAATGAGTTCACTTAATACAAGAGTGCACTTAATACAAAAGTAAAGTCCCAAGGTTACCATATAGAAAACCCAAAAGATTTTTCAATTTTCCACACAACTCTTAGAGTTTCTAGACCAATTAATTGATGAATATTTGCTGATTTCTTTACTTAGAATAAACTTCTCGGAAATCCTTTATAAAGCTAGATGATTCTCCAACATGTGGTCTATGTCTCAGTCCCTACTTTAATGTCGGACTTAATTCCATAATTAATGAACTTAAGAGAAGCCATAAGATGGTGATCAATACTTTTTAACTAAGGTCATAGAATACAATAAACAAAAACAATTGACAATGCTAAGGAGTTCTATTATCAAAAGAAAATTGAGATGAACAAGGAAAATGGATCATCGTTAGAGCCTACTCGAGGAGAATTAAGCTTAATAAGTGCTTGCTAAGTCAACATGAAGCTTTTTTTATTCACCAACGCTTTTAGTGGTTGTTTTGAGCCTATGATGGAGTTATCAAAGATATATAGTGCTTATTTTGTGGTCAATACTCTCAGCAAGATTATTACTAGCATACTTGGGAAATAACCGACTTGATCAAGGTAATACAATTAATTAAACATAAGAGAAACATAAAGAAGATAAAAGCTAGTACAACATAAATAAAAGAAAACTAAAAAAGGAACTTTAAAGAATTTCACGGAATAGCTAGAAATTTTTAACCACATGGAGTTGGATTATGCCATCTATTTTGCTGTTATCTTCAACTATGATTAGAACTTATACTTCAAAGATTCCAAACCCCAAATATTCCCACCCACCCTTTTCGAAATTCTGGGGCATTATCTGTGACACACACTATTAGCTATGAGCAGGCAGGATCCCAGTCTCCACCAATTACTCAGCTCTAGCAACCCTCCATTGACCTTACCAGCCTACAAACTTGTTCAATATCTATATATCAACAAGATGTTAAATTTTGGCTGAATGAACCTTTTAAACAATTGAATAGGCAGTCCACCAATTTTTAAGTTCAACTATGGAGCTAGCATGTCAGTTATATTAATCCCAGTGGCCTAGAAGTGACCTCTTGAACACCAAATTTGAAACTATTTATAGACTTTATTATAGTATAAAAAAACTGCAGCATAATAATTGCACCATACTAGTCCATAGAGTGTACTAACTGTACCGATCGATGCTGACATATTAGAAATTTTTATATCTTCAGTGGTCTACTAAAGCATACCATACTGCACAGTTGGTACCTATACCAATCAGATAAGATTTTGGTACAATTATGGGCAAAGGTGCCAGTTATAAACCTTTAACTTTATGCACTAAAACAATTTTATCAAGCTAATTAAGTCACCTACAAAGTTTTTTATAAGTTTAAGGAAATTATGCTATTCATGTAATTTATTTGAATGATTACTTTTTTATTTCAAACAATACCTAGTTTGTCTAGCTATCATTATAATCATGCTTTAGGCATCAAGTAATCTTTCAGGTTCTTGGAAAGTTAAAAGAAACTATGCTGCAAATCATTTAAAAGAATAAATTTCTACAATCAAACTTTACCTAAATAGTTTTTTTCCCAGCTTTATTGTGTTTATGCTTTAGGTTTTCCAACTTTTCCATGTTTTACATCTGAAACTCTGATTCAAGGGGCAAAACCAAACTAGCATTGAGAAAATGTTGACCCACTTCCAAGGTCCCTCTACTTAGTTCCAACATCTTTCCATATAAAGTTCTTTTATCTCTGATTCTTCAAATTTAGATAAAAATTTCATGAAAATATTTGTGAGCTTATACACAAATCCAAATACTTCAAATTTGTACGAATCCATAATCCTAGAAGGAAGTTGATTTTACATCTGAAGTAAAAGTTGCTTACCAGTGGTTGGCATTCATTTTTCTTCAACTATTAAAAGAGATATTTTCAGACAATCTTCCTTGTAATCATCCTGAAGCCCTGATTTTAACATTTTAAAAGTTAAAACTAGTAGGATTTTTTCCATGCTATCTTGAATGTCCAAGGATGCAAGCAAATCTGCATCCCATCCATGGAAGTGCACAGTAAATCCTGAATATTTCACCATAATGAAAAGAAACAAGAAAAGGCATTACATCTAACCATAATGATGACCTATATCATGCTAGAAAACCAAAAGGGCAATTTACATTATATTTTTAATTGGTTAGCTTCTAGCAGGATTTAAACAAAAGGGAGATGTTCAGAAACAAGCATGGATAATTTATCAAAAAACATTTACATACATATACAAATAATAACTATCTTACCAATTCCCATCATATTTTCCTTGTTGATCTCCACAATATAATCAGAAAGATAACTGATGAACAGTGTAGTATTGACTAAACCATTCTTCGAACCTTGAAGGGAAGCTTGGAGATCACTAGCTTCAGAAAAAGATGATCCAGAGATAAAGTCATGAAAGAGAGGCTGTATGAGTTTTAAGTTGTTCAAATTGTTATACACCTGAGGAAACAAATGGATCCTCAAAACATTCACATCTGACCCTCTGAAGGTTTTGGGCTCATCATTTGTGTATGTATCTGATATCATTGTACCAGTGACAAAGCTAACATGCTTACCATCAGCATGGTCCTTTGCTGAAAGGTTGAACCGGAAACCTACAGCAATGGCAGGATCATTTGGGAGGTCAACAAACTGCCATGAAATATAATGATTTCTTCGAGGAATCTGACAACTGTTGCATTTAAGAGATATAGTAGGACCACTGCTTGTGTTTTGGCAATTATATTCTACATACGTTGACAAAGGATAAACTCTGTAGTCAATAGAGCCAACAGTTCCAATCACCAGGGAATCAAGGCCACGTAAATGAGAACAGCTCATGCTAGAAATAGTGGTTATATTAAATTCCAAGTCATTGACAAACGAAAGTAGATCTGGGGCATTTGCAGGTCTGACTCGATGCACTTCGATGCTCCACTTAGTAATAATCTGATACAGCAACCTGTCATAACAGTTGAGTCATCTTACAGTGATGCTAAACAGATGTAAACTTTTCAATAAAAAAATAAAACATGATTAATAAAATCAATAAGCCTTGAAAGAACATACTCAAGTAGAAAAAGTCATGTGTCACTTACGCAGACAACAGACCAACGAAGAGTATCCAGCTTGCTACAGAAAATGTTCCACCCAGTTCTGTTTTCCTTTTTATCACCACCTTGTTGTCATCCTATATCAAAATGGAATGACCAAAGTGATACTAGAAAATGTTCAACCCATCTACAAAGAGTTTTTTATTAATAGAAATTGAACCAAAAACAGTTCAGTCAGAACTGATTGGTCTGTACAGGGTGCATACCAATACCATACTTGCCCAATCTGGGAATCGATATTGTAACTGAATCTTTAATCCTTGTATAAAGCAATATTTTTAGTTATGTGAAGAGCATTCAGATCTCTTTGTGATCTCTTAGTGAAGTTTTTATTGGTCTTTCTATATCTTCTCACACCAATAATTCTAATTGGGTATCTTATCTAATAACAACATCATCAGTTTTTTTTGGACATGTTCATGACATCTTAAATGGTTTTCCCTTATTTTATCTTCTATCGGGGCCACACTTTATTATTAGTGAATAAAAACATTCCTTTATATTTTCTAGTAACTTCATACACTCATCTCAACATTTTATCTTAGCTGCACAAACTCTTTACATTTGTTTTAAAATTGTCCAACACTTTGATCTAGGAAGTATGACTGGGCTAAAAATTATCATATATTTTTTTTCAATTTAAGGGGCATAGGACAATCACACAATACTCTCAATGCCCTTCTCTACTCTTTAATTTCTAGTCCATATTGTGTTATGCTGATCCCTGATATTCATGAGTTACACTTTAAAAGCTTAATGCAGTTGCATGAAATAACTCTCTGATTCAACATTTCAACAAACTAAAACAAGAATGCTAACAGAAACCTTTCAATCTCAACTATCTTTTGGCAACAAGGCAACTTTTCAGTCATCTTTCAGCCTAACCCTATGGTTAAACTACTCCTTTTAAGAGATTTCTATTGGGAACTCCTTTTTGCTATATATTCCTAAGATACCCCTCTACAAATAGACATAAATGCCCTCAACTTATCACTTAATTTCGATAAACTCTTCCCACTCCTTTCATACCTCCTCTTTTTCTTCTCCTAATCGCCAGAGGGAATGCAACTAAGGTTTCGACATCGGTGCTCACAGGAATGATTGACTGGCAAATGAAATGGGTTATATAATGTAATGGTAATTGAGTGATTGTGGAAAATAATGGTATGATTGATAATTGAGGTGTTGTATTTAGTAAAATTATATTTTATTATTTCTTTAGGTGGTTTTATCAAGAAGGGGGGCTGCCAATAGCAAAAGGGGGATTGCCAATAGCAATCTCCCTCCTTTATGATATTTTTCATCAAGACACAAGGCTCCAAAGGATGGTAGTTGTTTATAGCAGCTTAAGCTGAACAAATTTCTCTTAATGTCCATTTATTTCATTGCAATCTGCAAACTCTTCAGGTTAATCCTTAAATCTATCGTCCAAAGTGACTAGGAAACATGCCACTTCTGTCAACAAACTCCATCATAGTATTAGGGGAACAGAAAGAACCAAATAGTCAGGTGCATACCAGACAGAGTGAGGTAGTCTTACTCTGTAACAAACCTAACTTCATCACAGTTCTAGACATCAAATTATTAGATTCAGAAGATGGAATATGAACATGCATCTGAGATTTCCGACCTACAAAATTAGAGGTGAAAACAGAAAAAGAGATGCTGACCAGCCAATGTTTGGTATCGTAGAACGTGTCGAAGCGGCTGATCCACCAGCGGAGTCGGAACCAGAAGCTGCGGCCGTTATCGACCCTGGTGAAGCGCAGCGCGAGGCAGAAGGCGAGCCAGACGAGGAGGAGCACGAGGGTGGCCTCCAGCAGCACGGCCTGCGACTGCGTGAAGCGCTTGATGTCGTCGATGGGGAGGACGGTGGTGAGGAAGGTGGGCGCGGGCGACACCCCGGAGCTGACCATCCAGTCGCCGCCCGTCTCGAACAGCGCGCAGCTCCCTTTCACCAGGTATCGCCCCGGGTTGCACGCGCACAGCGTCCCGTTGTACCGGAACGCCATTGCCGGGCACCCGCCGCTCCCGTTCACCTCCATCTCCTCAGACGAATTGGGAGCAAGAAGGTTTCGTCATCTGAAGAAGGAAGAAAGGGGGATTCGATTTGTTGAGGGTTTTCGAACGAAAGGGGGAGGAGAAGCCACCCGTCCCTGGATCAAGTCATTCAGCAGCAAAAATGATGGGCGTGAAGACGGGTTTTGGCTTAGGGTGGTATTTATTTGTTTGAGCTCGATGGAGTAGCGAAGCACCGAGATGACTTCTATTTGTCAGCTTCCTCAGCGGGAAGCATTCGGGCCGATGCTTGGCGTCCGCGCAAATTAGTAATATAAAATTAGCTCAAATAAAAATTAGACGAATTTTAAAAAAAATAATAAAATGTTCCTACTTAAAAATAATAATAAAATAGTTGATAAACTATTTTATCCATTTACTCTGGACAGCTAAGTTATTATTTTTTATTCAAAACAGTAACTTTTGGATATCTGTTCAGTAAGACTTTATTAACCCATTCATGTTGGTATAGTTCCCTGCTGATTTAATATTTTTTTATTAAAGAGGCCTACAAAGTGGTTGGTACAATGTATGATAAACCTGCTGTCATATGAGTGCTGATCTCCTTCTTTTTGTTTCTCTTTGCTTCCGTACGTGGATTGCTCCTGTTCTTCTTGTTTATATTGTACTTTCATGGAAGCTACTGTTGGGTGGATCTTATTTCTGATGAAATATTTTTGGTTGATGATATTTACGTATAGATTGTTGAATCTCGGATTTTGATGATGAAACTAATTGATAAGTATTTATGTTTTAATCTGCGTTTTGAGTGACGTGGGATGCTTCGATCAGGATGAGACAATTAAATCAGGAAGAATCATGTTGGGCCAGAGGAACATATCAAAAGATTGAATGTCGGACCGGAGGATCGGTCGACGCATCGACAGAAGGCTTCGGGCCATGGATTCGAGCATCGGGCCAAGAAGAGTAGATATTATACCAAGGATATCGGAGTTGCGGAGTCAACTGGCCGATTGGGCAATAGGCCGCAAGAGAGGATGATGTGCCGAAGAATCAGATGAAGCGTCGAGAGACTAATAACCTGCCAGACAATATGATTAATGCTTAGTATTAATTGTCTAGATCGAAGTGTGTTTTACATGTGCAGGATTAACTACGATAGCAAGGCATGAAGCAAAATGAAGTCCCGAAGTCAAGGACGCAATTTCGTTAGGAGTTAGAGAGTTTGTCGGAAGTCCGGACGTTCGTCGGAAGTTCTATCGTAACCAGCCGAAAAGTCTCAGAGCTTACTAGAGAAGCTCGTCGAAACTCGCCAAGAAGATCATCGTGAAGTCTAAGAGCTTGCTGGGAGTCCGTTGAAAGCTCACCAGAAGAACCAAGATATAGAAACTTGTTTAGCTTGGCAAATGTCTTAGGAATCGTAGTTAGCACGTAATTGGATTTGGATTTAGGTCAATCCAATTAGGGGCTAGCTAGGCCCATTTAAGACTATGTTGGGCCTAATGAGAGGCCTAAATAGTGCCCCAAGAAGTAGCACCTATTAGGATCAAGAGCACTAAGGGGGGGGGGGGGGGTGAATTAGTGCAGCGGAAAACTTTCGACGATTTAAAACGATATTCGTACGATAAAAACGATTTCGATAAGAAAGCCAATTTGAAAATTGCTTTAACTTAGATTAGGGGAAGTGTAGTTAAAGTAAAGCTATAGAGGTAGTTTGTAGTTAAGATAGAAAACAAAAAGTAAATGCAAACCGAGATTTAGAGTGGTTTGGTCAATCTTGACCTACATCCACTTTTGGCTTCCTCCTCCGATGAGGTCACCGACGTCCACTAGAGGCCTTCCTTTAATAGACAAAGGCCAACCACTCTTTTACAGCTTCACTCCTTTTGACGAGCTTAGGAGACAACCCTTATAGAATTTTCTCTCTCTCTTTAAAGATCAAAACTTGAAAGAAAAGAGGGAGGAGAACTTCTAGCCTTCATAACACTTTTGAGCTCTAAAAATCACAGAGTAAGATTGGATTTTCGGTGCCCTTTCATGCAGGAAAGGGTGGGGTATATATAGGCCCCAAACTGGTTTGAATTTGGAGCTCAAAAATGTCATCTTCTAAATTTTCGGGGTCCTAGCGATACTACCGCCAGACTGGGCGGTATGACCGCCTAATAGAGCTTAGAGACCGAGCTCTAGCGGTGCCACCGCCTGATTGGGGTGGTTCCACCGCCCAGTCTTGCTCGGAGACTAAGCCCAAGCGGTGCCACCGCTTGACTGGGGCAGTTCCACTGCCCAGCTTTCTTGGGAGACTGAGCTCCTGGGCGGTGCCACCGGCGACCCAGGCAGTGCCACTACTGGTCAGGAAATCTGGGTCTGAATGGGCTGATCCATTCGACCCAATTTGGGTCTATCAAGGGCCCAATTGCTCCCAGATTAAGTAATTGGGATCACCTCCTATTCCTAGCTTAATCTACATGCTAACTATGATATTTCTTAAGACATTTACTACAACTTGCTCTGGTGCGTCAATCGCTTCTTCTGGCGAGCTTCCGACGAACTTCCGGCGAACATCCGACGAACCCTCGGCGATACTCCAGCGGACTTCCTGCAAACTACTAGACTTGTGACGATCCACTTAGCGAGTTCTGACGAGCTTCTTTGGCAAGCTCCTAGACTTCTCGGATTTGTTCTCGCAGAACCTCCGACGACCGTCCGGACTTCTGTCGAACTCTCGAACCCTCAACGTGATCATGGTCTTGACTTCGGCGTAACTCTTGCTGCATGTCTTACTTCCATCATAGTTAATCCTACATATGTAAAATAAACTTCGATCTAGACAATTAATACTAAGCATTAATCAAGTTGTCCGGCATGTCATTGGTCCCTCGACGCTTCATCCGATTCTTCGGCGCATCGTCCTCTCCTATGGCCTATTGCCCAATTGGTCAGTTGACTCCGCAACTCCAATATCCTTGGTGCAATACCCACTCTTCTTGGCCCAATGCCCGAGTCCACGGCCCAAAGCCTTCTGTCGATACGTCGACCGATCCACCGGCCCGATGTCTAATCTTCTGACATGTTCCTTTGGCCCAATATGATTTTTCCTGCTTTAATTGTCTCATCCTGATCGAAGTATCCTGCGTCACTCAAAATGCAGATTAAAACATAAACATAATTATCAATTGGTTTCATCATCAAAATATGAGATTCAACAATCTTTCCCTTTTTGATGATGTCAACCAATTGATGACGGAGTTAAACTTAACTCCCGGAGTTTAAACAAACTCCCCCTATCAATATGCCATATTGATAGAACCTTGAATTCAATTTGAATTCAAGTCATTGCAATATTCATCATGAATACTTACAACACGTCATCATGAACTTATACATAAACTTATGCATAACATCATATCTCTCCCCCTTTGTCATCAACAAAAAGGAGAAGTCCAACTATTCTTGTGTTTGGAATATAGGTTCAACTCATTGCATGAAAAACATAATATCTAGTTTTATTATCATGCAGTTTTGAAGCTAGAAAATTTAACAAGTTTTACATCATGCTTAGAACATTCAAGCTATTAAGTTTTAGATATGCAAGTTTTACAATATACAAGATTGCACTTTTGCTTCTTTTGAGATAGCAACTTCTACATCATGCAAGCTAGCAAATTAGAGGTGTTCAAGAAAGCAACTCTTACTTCTTGAAGTATGCAAGTTGTAAGCTAGCAAATTTTTTACTTCCCATACAATGTTTGAGCTTGTAATTTTGCTTCCGTTGCAAAGTGCAAGTTTAGCATGTTTAGGATTTTGAGATAGACAAGATAGCATATTTTTATATTTTCTTGATATTCAAGATAGCAATTTCTTCCCTTTTGAGAAGTACAATTTTTGCTTTCATCTTGAATTGTGCAAGCTAGCTAGTTTGCCTCTTTTCATGATGTTCACACTAGAAATTCTTGCTCCCCCTTTGTCATTGTCAAAAAGAAGGGAAGACCCTTATATCAATTTTCAGATTATGACAAAGGAAAGTATCAATCTTATTTGTGCATCATTATATATTCAAATTAAAACATACACAATTTCAAAAATCTTATTTTTCATTCACGATACCGAAAAATAAATCAATCATCATTAATGAGCATATAATACATGATACTCAAATATTAAAATTTTTAAGCATTTATCAACATGTTGATCATGATACCAAACATTCATCATTTAAAGCATTCATGATACACATCATATGCAATACATCATTTACATCATTATCATAAGTATTGCATACATCATTTCAAATTCATGAATATTTCATCATTGCATGTATCATACCAAATCATAAAATATAAATCATCATTACATGCATGATTCTAAATTATCATTCTATCAGAAAATGATAATTATTGATTTTTACATTATTTCAAAAAAATCAAAGTGTTGCATGCATTTTTATCTAAGGGAAAAATTATAGTGTTGCATGCATTTTTATCTAAGGGAAAAATCATAGTGTTGCATGCATCATTCCAAAACATTTCCAGCCATGCAAGCCATAAATACAAAGAAATTATGTCATGAAGGATAAAATCATTTTAATACCAAAAGACATTATTTATATAGTAAATATATTTTTTAAATAAAATATCAAGAAAAATCATAGGAGTACAAAGAAGAGATCTTGTTTTAAAAGAAAATCAAGTAATAAATCCAAGAACTCACAAGGAAAAATCATGATTAATTTAGAAAATCTCCTCTTAAGAAAATATCAAGTAGAATCATAGGAGATCGATTAATGAGAAATTTTGATTCGTAATGAAATCTTATGTATCGAATGTCGAGAAATCAAAATGACGATTCATAAAAAATCACAAGTTATATTCAATTCATGAATACCGAAAGAACATTCAAGATTCATTTGGATAATTTTTCTTCTTTAGTAAATGACAAGAAGAAACATGGGAGTTAAAAAAAAATAAGATCTTGATTCATAAGCAATTTCAAGTTATAAATCATGAGAAATCAAGATCATGATTTCGATAAAGATTTATTCAAATTTAAATCATCAAAATTATTTTCATGGTCCAAGAGATTCATAAAAGTGATATAAATGGATTCATTAATCTCCCTTTTGGAAAAATCGAGAAAGTAGGAAAATTAAATTTTTCTACGAGAAACCTTTTTTCTTTTTTGTTGTTTCAATTCATGTGATTTATTTCATTTATGCC